AAGAATTTCCTTCTGTTTTTTTAGTCTTTAAATTCAAATATTTTGTTTAAGGATGCTGCTTAAACGGTAGTTTCCTGTAATTAGTATTATGTCCATAATATCAATGAATGCCTTATAATGTCAGAAGAGGGCATATTTATATAGATGAGTTTGTAGCATTATAAACACAAAAACGTCTTGATTGTGTCAAACAAAAGCTAACATTGAACACTGAGCAACAGTGTCAATATGAAACAAAACCAGTTTACAAACATTACTTTTAACATGGGCTTAAGCACAAATTAACACCTACTTTTGACTTTATAATAAGGATGTTCACTAATCTTGTTTTAGACTTTTGGTCAGATATTCAGAATCCTCTGGTTTTACCAATGTAGTGCCATTAAAATTTGGGCTTGATAACCCCTACTTTTCTTTTCATAATTTTATTATGGTACATATAGTTTAAAAAGCCGTTTTTGAAATCTTTTTAAATCCTTGTTATTTTTTCAGTTTTTAAAAGAAAAAAGGTGTTAATGTTAAATGTACGAAAAATCTAGAGAGAATCATTTCTCACCAAATTTTCAGTGACTTACATCTCAAAAACAAGGACATGGACCTTTCATTTTTTTTAGCTGGTTTAATTCAGTTATTCATATACTATCAATTTATAGTGCTAGTCTTTAAAAAAAACTTGTAATTTTATTTTGAAAAAGAGTAACGAACTTATTATACTCACAAAGAAATTGGTGAAACTATTTTGAATAAGACATAAAAATATAATTTTTATCTCTTTTATTTATAGGCAATAAGATAGGCCTTGGTTGAAGTTAAGTTCTAAATTTTCTGTACATAATCTTGCATTATTCATACCTTTGAGTCTCATTTATTTTAAACAAATTCTAGTGAAGTCAAAAAGTAGATTGTAATCAAAGACATAAAACTTTGATGGTTACATTTTTTTATCTTTATTTACTTTATAATTGCTTATCTAAATGTGAATATTGACCATCATGTTACATTTAAATCTAACCAAAATGTATCTGGAGAGTGAAAATTTAAATACTGTGGATTCATTATTACTTATATGATACCTGTTTTCGTGGATTTGTTAGGTTAAGGTGAACCACGAAATAAATTTTCATCGAAGTACAAATTTTCTATAAGCTTGTATGCAGATTTTTGCAAAACCATGAAAATTCAATTTTTCCTCCATCCACAAAAATTGGTACACAAGGATATAAATAATATCTTTATTGTCATATAAATATAATTAGTTTATGTCAAAAAAAAAATGCTCCGCAGGGCGCAGCTTGATACGACCGCAGAGGTCGAACCCTGAACAGTTGGGGCAAGTATGGACACAACATTCAAGCTTGATACAGCTTTGCATTTGGATTGTGATTAAATATTTGACACAGCATAGGTTTCTGACACAGAATGAATGTGGTCTATGAACTTAAAAATTTTAAATTGGACATTCACCTATTATGGTCCAATATCCAAAATCTAAATACATGGTTAGATTCAGCATATCAAAGAACCCCAAGAATTCAATTTTTGATGAAATCAAACAAAGTTTAATTTTGGACCCTTTTGACCTCAATGTGGACAAAGTTGATAATGGGGCCCAAAAATCAAAAATCTAAATACATGGTTAGATTCAGCATATCAAAGAACCCCATATATTCAATTTTTGTTGAAATCAAACAAAGTTTAATTTTGGACCCCGATTTGGACCAACTTGAAAACTGGGCCCATAATCAAAAATCTAAATACATGTTTAGATTCAGCATATCAAAGAACCCTAAGAATTCAATTTTTGTTAAAATCAAACTAAGTTTAATTTTGGACCCTTTGGACCTTAATGTAGACCAATTTGAAAACGGATCCAAAAATTAAGAATCTAAATACATGGTTAGATTCGGCATATCAAAGAACCCCAATAATTCAATTTTTGATGAAATCAAACAAAGTTTAATTTTGGACCCTTTGGACCTCAATGTGGACCAATTTAAAAACGGGGCCCAAAATCCAAAAACTAAATACACGGTTAGATTCAGCATATTAAAGTACCCCAAGAATTCAAGAATAAAACCCCATTGAAATTGGTCAAGAAATAAACAATTTATACGAAGTATCTTCTTTTGCACAATACTGTGCAATTAAATATTTCTTGCTATTGCGCAATACTGTACAATTGACAATTTCTTGCTATTGCGCAATATTGTGCTATTGCATATTTCTTGCTATTGCCCAATACTGTGCAATTGAAGATTTCTTGCTATTGCGCAATACAGTGCAATTGAAGATTTCTTGCTATTGTGCAATACTGTGCAATTGAAAATTTCTTGCTATTGCACAATACTTATTATATAATAATTTACACATCCTGTTTGGTGTGTATCTCCTACCATATCATTATTATTTGCTTTTAAATATAAATCAGAAATAACCAACTTAAAATTGAAAATTTTAAAAGAAAAAAAAAAGGAAAAAAAGAAACCCCCCCCCCCTCCAAATTTTTTGAACCCCCTTATGATTAATCACCCCCAAACTCAATCCCAGCCTTCCCTTTGTGGTATGGTACCTTGCAGTACAATTTCAGAGAGATCCATACACTTGAACACAAGTTATTGTCTGGAAACTAGAAAAATGTGTTTTTTGGCCCCTTTTTGGCCCCAAATTCCTAAACGTTTCGGCAATTACCCCCAAACTCAATTCCAGCTTTCCCTTTGTGATATGGAACCTTGTAGTACAATTTCAGAAATATCCATACACTTACACACAAGTTATTGTCATGAAACTAGAAAAATACTTGTTTTTTGCCCCTTTTTTGGCCCCTAATTCCAAAAATTTTGAGGCAAGTACCCCCAAAATCAATCCCAGCATTCCTGTTGTGATATGGAACCTTGTGGTACAATGTCAGAGAGATCCATACACTAACACACAAGGTATGTCTGGAAGTTACAAAAATGCTTATTTTTGGCCCCTTTTTGGCCCCTTATTCCTTTACTGTTGGTACCATAACCCCCAAAATCAATCCCAACCTTCCTTTTGTGGTATTGAACCTTGTGGCAAAATTTCATAGAGATCCATTCACTTAAACTAAAGTTAGAGTGCGAAAACCAATGTGTCTTCGGACGACGCCGGACGACGACGACAACGATGACGCCAACGTCATACCAATATACGACCACAAAAATTTTTTTTGCAGTCGTATAAAAAAGAGAAACAAACATAATATAGCAAAAAAATAACAATTCTAAAAGAAATGAACACATGGAAAAAAATTATAAGACTAGTACTTCTGCCCTAAGTTCTAATGACTGTTTTATAAAGGAGCCAATACTTTTAACATATTTCATGATAGAGGGGTTCAGCATTTCTTTCACTTTTTGTTAAATAAATCCATATGTCACATATCTATAAAATGTTAATCAGTCTTCATTTTCATATGTCTTTTTTAAAAGTAAACAACAAAAAACTGATATAGTCATGCAGTCAGACAATAATACATATTCTTTGTAAATAAATTGTATAGAATGTGGAATGGTAGGAAAAGGGGTACCCCACATGACGAATGAGGGTAAAATATTTGTTAAAATAACGTTAAAGATAAACATTTTACTTCATTTGATGTTAATGGTAGCTACAAAATGAAACTTGACAAATGACGATGAAAAAATTAAGGCTCATTTGACGCTAACAGGCGTTTAACACTTGACGATAAAGGACAGTCCTATCCTCATGTGGTCTCACACTGTCTTTCATTCATATCTTTTCGTACATAAATTGTACAGAAGTTAAATGTTACGTCAAAATTTCCATTCCCTGACAAACTAAAAGATATGCAGTCACTAGTCTTTACTTCTATATGATATATAATGTACAGAGAAAAAAGAAACAGATATACTAACACGTAATATTTGTTTATAATGCCATTAGAGTCACCATGCACCGTAAATGTACCTACCTTATTTTAAGCATTAAACAGGACAAATCTATGCATTTTTAAAAATAATCATCGTTCATTTTAATGTCCTCTTGATAGTCCACTTTCAAGTTATGTCAAATTGTGTATTAATTAGGATGAAATGAAAGAAAAAATATCTAATTGTAGGATTAAAAACAATACATGTACAGTGTACTTTGAAAGTATATAATTTACTTGTACACATTATACAAAACAGGACAGAAATCATGTTTCTACCCATTTCTAAAATTTGCACAAGTATGATTTTCTTTTTGAAATCAGTGAAGTACCTGTATACTGAATATTTCTAATGTTAGTAAGCGTTATACTAGTGTATTTCTTCAGATGACAGATAAAATGATAAGTCCAATCTCCTCAACTGTAACAGGTTTATACATGTACATGTAGCAAGTGTATATAAGGCATGGATTTAATAAAATTATTGAACTAAATGAAGTCCTGAAATATTTGAAGACCTCCTTAATTTGAATGCAGGATATATACATAACATCATTGAGGACCTCCATAAACAAATTTCAGGATATCCTGAGGCCAAAAGTAAAATTTAGATTGATTGTTGTTTGCCTACCTACCAACTTAAAAAGCAGCCTACCCAAAAAGATTTATTCCTGCTCTAATGTCTTTTTTTTTTCTTGTGTAAAACATGCAATTTATGTTGTTGGCCAAAAATAAAATCCATACCTACCTACCCAACCCTGTAAGGCATGGGTAGGAAACATCAAACAAAGAATTTTTTTAAGGGTAGACTGAAATATTTCAGGACCTCCACAAGTGATCTGTCAAATTGCTTAATTTCATGACTGAGGTCCTTAAATATTTCAGGATATCCTGAAATCAATTATGGAGGCCCTCAATGATTTATGGATAAATCCTGAATTCAAATTAAGGCGGTCCAAAATATTTCAGGACCTCCTTAAATACAATAATTTTGACTTAATCCTTTGTCATATCTCCAAATTTGCTTCCTTATCAAAATGGAAATTATACATTGTACACCATAAATGCTGAATCATGAACTTCTCACCTGTAATAAGTACTTTGTAATCAATATCAGCATCATCCAACATAGGTTTAACAGTGCTCTCAAAGATCTGTTGTGCTTTTCCAGGTCCACTATGTGGATTAATAAGGACTAATACTGTAGGGCTTGGAGGTAGCATACAAAATTCCACTTCTGAAACAGAAACAGTTATTGTTTAAGATAAATGCTTTTCATCTGATAAACTTTAATTGAAATAAAGAAATCTATGCAAGATGAAATTGGGCTTATGGCATAATTCCATATTATGACTGGTGCATCTTAATAACAAGAAAAAGGGGGAGGAGGTCAACAACCAATTATTACTTGTACAAATACACAACAAATGGATAATGTTATGGTATGTTTGGTTATTTCTTATATTAAATATCAGTCCATATCAATGAATTTTTCTGTGCTGAATTATTTATCAATTGATTGACTGTCTTTTCAAATTTAAAGACATTTTCTGAGCATTTCACAGGGAAATTTCACATGAATTGAGATTCATGTGAATTTCACCTCAAAAGAGCTTTATACATGAAACTCACTGATTTCATGCGAGTTTCACATGAATTTGATGTAAAAATCACTAGAACTTTTTCACGTGAAATTCAAATAACATCTAAATTTTCAAATTAAAGTTTTTCAAATAATATCTAAATTTTCAAATTAAAATTAAAGTATCATTTTTTTTTTCTTGGTAAAGTTCATGTGAAATTCAGTCGAAAATTTCATGTGAGATTCACATATATGTATAAGACCATTTGAGGTGAATTTAACGTAAAAATTGAAATCAAGTACTGACAGTGTTTTTTATTGTATTAGAATTTATCTAGTAAGGGTTAGACAGTGTCGTTAGCAATGGGTTTTGCTCATTGTCAGTCTGCACCAAAATCTTACTAACTACTAGTCCGAAGACCAATATTCTGACATTTACCTATGTGACTAAACAAAGTTTTGCAAATTCTTACTCGTATGAATAAAATTTAACTAAAATTGAGAATTGAAATGGGGAATATGTCTAAGAGACAACAACCCGACCAAAGAGCAGATAACAGCCGAAGGCCACCAATGGGTCTTCAACGCAGCGAGAAAATCCCGCACCCGGATGCGGGCCTCAGCTGGCCCCTAAATAAAAAATGTGTACTAGTTCAGTGAAAATGGATGTCATACTAAATCCAAAACATATAAATGAACTAAAACAAGCATTCTGAGAGTATTGCATAGCAATACATAATCCCCTACCAGTTAAGAATTCATTGTACTGGAACAAAATGCTAACTTGATTTATAACTTGTCATGGTGTTAAAATACATAACAAATATAAAGTCAATATCTTCAAGCATGACAAAAAAAGTGTTGAAAACTGATTATTTGAGAGAATTTTCTAAGTCCAAGGACCATAACTCTGCACAAATTCATCAGACCAGAACAAAATCAACTTGATCTGTAACTTGTCATGATAAACCTATATACAAATTATCAAATCAATATCTTCATGCATGACGAAAAAAAAGTGTTGAAAACTGATTATTTGAGTGAATTTTCTAAGTCCAAGGACCATAACTCTGTACAAAATCATCAGACCGGAACAATATTTGAACTTGATCTGTAACTTGTCATGATAAAACTATATACCAATTATTAAATCAAAACCTTCAAGCATGACAAAAAAAAGTGTGGAAAACTGATTATTTGAGTGCATTTTCTAAGTCCAAGGACCATAACTCTGCACAAAATCATCAGACCGGAACAAAATTCGAACTTGATCTGTAACTTGTCATGATGAAACTATTTAATAAATATCAAATCAATATCTTCAAGCACAAAGAAAAAAGTATGGAAAAATGATTTGCCAGACTGACAGATGGACAGACAGACAGACAGACAGACAGACAGACAGACAGACAGAATGGGACTAATAAAAAACATACAAGACTAACAAAGGCCTGAGGCTCCTGACTTGGGGCAGGCGCAAAAATGCAGCGGGGTTAAACATGTTTTGTGAGATTTCAACCCTCCCCCTATACCTCTAGCCTCTTGGGCATCAGACTAATGGCTAACAGTGTAGACTGCATTGTTGTAGGCCGTATGGTAATCTATAGTTGTTAACTTCTATCTTACTTAATTTTGGTCTGTGGTGAAGAGTTGTCCCATTGGCAATCATAATCACATCTTCTTATTTCTATACAGACAGAAGAAGGGGATCAAATAGCCAGAAGATGATCAGTTACAACATGGCATAGAGTTATAATTCTATGTTTAACAATTAAACGTACATGTAGTTGTTTATTTATCAGATCTATTTTCTTAAAGTATGAACAGTTATTTAAACTTCAAAATAACAAGAAGAATATATCTATAAATTCAATTCGTATTAATTGATTAATCATTTGTTTATCTTCCAACTTGCCAAATATATCATGCATATTCAGGTCAAGAATAAATTATTCAATTTTGAATGATCTACAAAATGGGTTGAAAGGGATGAAGGGTGTCAAGTTTGACAAAAAAGGTCACTTTGGTAGGAGCAGAAATTTTGCCTTGCATTAGTTCGCCATATCAATACATGGAAATTCATTCCTATGCCTAAATAAATTTCAGTAAAAGTTACTTCCTTCTGTTAAACTGAATAAAAAATCTTATGTCATCAACTTATAAGGGCATACAATACAGTACCAGGGGCAGAATAATAAAGTATCCAAATTTAACTTGTAGTTTTTTGCAACCTGGCTAATGATAAGCACCCAATATTCCTGGATATGCCATTAACATTATTAAATCTGTTATGTGAATCAAATTTAAAAGCACTAATTGCAAAGGAAAATGATAATTGCTTTATATTTAATCAAGTGAAATCTACTGATGGTGCAAAAAAAAAATTAATCTAATGAAATCCGATTCCAATTTATGACAGCAATTCTATAAGAGCCTTTTGATGTACATGTACAATGAGAATAACTGCATTCAGACGTTGCATTCAGAATACACTGCGATCTAATTTAGTGCCAAAAAAGGAAATGGGATCTCTAGCATCAATGGTACATGAATATTTTTTTCTGTATGCATTTGTTGTGGCACGAAAATTGCCTAATTGCCTTTCGATTACTAATAATTGTATGTTTTCACAAAAAAAAACATATTGCAATTTCCACCTTTATTATTGCCCTTACTTAAAATACCTATAAACTAATGAACACTTAGTAAAAAAACAAACTATTGAAAATATCTTTCCATTTAAAATAAGTTTTGAAATATGTCAGATTTTTTTGGTTTTATTTCCTGAAACAGAAATGAAAATGAAAGTGATAAAACCATAATAATTAGAAACAAATATTTCTTTACAGATAGATTATCCATTTAATTATCTGGAATCATATAGGATCAATAATGAATAAAATGCTTCGCTGGGGCGCAGCTTGATACGACCGCAGAGGTCGAACCCTGAACAGTTGGGGCAAGTATGGACACAACATTCAAGCTTGATACAGCTCTGAATTTGGATTGTTATTAAATATTTGACACAGCATAGGTTTCTGACACAGAAAGAATGTGGTCTAAGAACTTGAATTTTTTTAATTTACCTATTATGGTCCAATGTCCAAAATCAAAATACATGGTTAGATTCAGCATATCAAAGAACCCCATATATTCAATTTTTGTTAAAATCAAACAAAGTTTAATTTTGGACCCCAACTTGGACAAACTTGAAAACTGGGCCCATAATCAAAAATCTAAACACATGTTTAGATTCAGCATATCAAATAACCCCAAGAATTCAATTTTTGCTAAAATCAAACTAAGTTTAATTTTGGACCCTTTGGACCTTAATGTAGACCAATTTAAAAAACGGGACTTAAAATTAAAAATCTAAATACACGGTTAGATTTGGAATATCAAAGAACCCCAATAATTCAATTTTTGATGAAATCAAACAAAGTTTAATTTTGGACCCTTTTGACCTCAATATGAACCAATTTGATAGCGGGGCCCACAAATAAAAAATCTAAATTCATGGTTAGATTCAGCATATCAAAGAACCCCATATATTAAATTTTTGTTGAAATCAAAAAAAGTTTAATTTTGGACCCCAACTTGGACCAACTTAAAACTGGGCCCATAATCAAAAATCTAAACACATGTTTAGATTCAGCATATCAAAGAACCCCAAGAATTCAATTTTTGTTAAAATCAAACTAAGTTTAATTTTGGACCCTTTGGACCTCAATGAAGACCAATTTAAAAAACGGGACCCAAATTAAAAATCTAAAAACACGGTTAGATTTGGCATATCAAAGAACCCCAATAATTCAATTTTTGATGAAATCAAACAAAGTTTAATTTTGGACCCTTTTGACCTCAATGTGGACAAAGTTGATAATGGGGTCCACAAATAAAAAATCTAGATACATGGTTAGATTCAGCATATCAAGGAACCCCATATATTCAATTTTTGTTGAAATCAAACAAAGTTTAATTTTGGACCCCAATTTGGACCAACTTGAAAACTGGGCCCATAATCAAAAATCTAAATACATGTTTAGATTCAGCATATCAAAGAACCCCATATATTCAATTTTTGTTGAAATCAAACAAAGTTTAAATACTGGACCCTATCTTGGACCAACTTGAAAACTGGGCCCATAATCAAAAATCTAAACACATGTTTAGATTCAGCATATCAAAGAACCCCAAGAATTCAATTTTTGTTAAAATCAAACTAAGTTTAATTTTGGACCCTTTGGACCTTAATGTAGACCAATTTAAAAAACAGGACCCAAAATTAAAAATCTAAATACACGGTTAGATTTGGAATATCAAAGAACCCCAATAATTCAATTTTAGATGAAATCAAACAAAGTTTAATTTTGGACCCTTTTGACCTCAATATGAACCAATTTGATAACGGGGTCCACAAATAAAAAATCTAAATACATGGTTAGATTCAGCATATCAAGGAACCCCATATATTCAATTTTTGTTGAAATCAAACAAAGTTTAATTTTGGACCCCAATTTGGACCAACTTGAAAACTGGGCCAAAAATCAAAAATCTAAATACATGTTTAGATTCAGCATATCAAAGAACCTCATATATTCAATTTTTGCTAAAATCAAACAAAGTTTAATTTTGGACCCTTTGGACCTTAATGTAGACCAATTTGAAAACTGGACCCAAAATTAAAAATCTAAATACACTGTTGGATTCGGCATAACAAAGAAATAAATGTGATCAATGATTTTACAAATCTAATGCACCATACTGTGCAATTAAAGATTTCTTCTTGAAATTTTTCAATATTTGAAATTTGAAAAAAAAATAATATTTGAAGAATAATTTTTTTAATTTCTGAAATCTGAAATGAGAAAAAATTGACCCCCCACAATTTCTTTTTATCCCCCCCCCCCCTTTTTTCCCCAAAAAAATTCTTTCCCTCAAGATATGGTCATAATCTCAATTCAAATTTCCAATGGAGTTGGCAACCATAATTACCCATTTAAATTTACCATAGTGCTAACTTAATCTATTTTAAAAATATAGTGTCAAATCTTTCATATGGATTTTTTTGTAAAAAAAAAAGATGCAACATTTGCAGATATTTTTACTGGTCTTCCTTTATAAATATGCATTTCTTTAAACATAATTTAAAAGCAGTGTAAGGGAAGTAACCAAAACGTTGTATTTGGATTACCTCCCTTACACTGTTTTAAATTATCTTTATTGTTCATTAACCATTACTTTATACATAATTTAAAAGCAGTGTAAGGGAGATAATTTCAATGATGTATTTGATTTATCTCCCTTACACTGCTTTAAATTATGTTTTGTACTAAAGTATTTGTCCATTAACCAGGACAACCTTGTTTTTCCCCCTTTTTTGCCCCTTATTTCTAAACGGTTTGAGCCATAACCCCTAAAAGCAAATCCTAACCATCCCTTTGTGGTATGGAAACTTGTAGTATAATTTCAGAGAGATCCATACACCGTTCCACAGTTATTGTCTGGAAACTAGAAAATGCTTATTTTTGGCCCCTAATTCCTTAACTGTTGGTACCATAACCCCCAAAATCAATCCCAACCTTCCTTTTGTGGTATTTAACCTTATGGTCAAATTTCAAAAAGATCCATTTACTTAAACTAAAGTTAGAGTGCGAAAACCAATGTGTATTCGGACGACGACGCTGGATGACGACGACGACGCCAACGTCATACCAATATACGACCACAAAATTTTTTTGCGGTCGTATAAAAATGAATAACCCTATAAAATTTTGAGTTCCAAAATTAATTCTGTGGAATGATTCATTGACATTACAATTTGAACTTTAATATTTTGGGAACATTTAAATGATGTGATTTTAACCATTTATGGATTAGAAAGGTCGGGTTGAACATGAAACAACATTGTAAAATCACATGAATTACAAGGTTAAAAAAAATTGTAATAATATTTGTTTGTAATTGTGATTTTGATTGGACTCCTTCATATATTGAGAGGGGGTAAAATTATGATGGAATGCCATGCACAAATGTATATGATATTTTCACTTCGCTAAAAAATCTTTTAAGGTTGTATGGGAGTCTTCTTCTATTTTGGACTGCAAAATAGCAAAACACAATAGGTCTAAATTTTCAATCATGTCAGCAAATTTAGATTTTTCATTGAAATGAACAATTTCATGTGATTTTATCTTATGATATAATTACTAAGATTTTTACATAGGTAGAACACTTTTGCCTGATCTAAATTTTTTCCCCTTCATTTTAGCAATTACAATGTATAAAGGGGAGGTAACTCAGAAATTGTACAATTTATAAGGAATTTACAGAGCTTTCTTCTCATACTTAATTTCAAAATGTTATCATTTAGTTAACGTTCTATTCACATAATGGTGCATTTTCTCTGTATATTCCATACAAAATGTGTCAATTTTACAACCTGTAGTTTGAAAATAAGTTTGGTGACCTATCATCTTCATGATAGTTTTGTACATCACAATATACAACATGTACATGTAGACTTAAATTTGGCAAAGTATGAAGAAATTCTATAATTTTTCATTTATACTCCCATCAGCAAATTCATTAAAATAGGAAATTACAGTCGCAAATATCCTTTACTGTATGCGCTCAACTGTAACTCGAAAACTTAATTTGCGACAGTAACATCAACAATTGAAATCAGCATATATATAAATTAAATATGAAAATTATTCCTTCAAAGCATTAGATACAGAAACAAGGGCAAATAATAATGAACTACATTTATTTTGTTGTTTTCACAACATTGCCAATGATGATCATCCAAAATTCTCAGAAAAATCATTCAAGTGAGCCTGCATGCTCATCTCATCAACTTGGTTATGTGAATTTGAGGGTAATTGCAAAGGAAAAAGAACATGTTGTATATTTGAGGAGACAACTATGACGGCATACATTTCAAGGCAAATGAAGACTTTTCTACCATCAATAAATTTGTATACATAATGTACATGTATGACAGTAATTCCTAATTAAAGCGATTGAGTATACAGCAGGAATTGCTGCATGACAATGTTGCATTAAAAATAGTACACTACGATGTAATTTAGCGGTAAACAAAAATGGGATGTCGGGCATTAAAAACTGGTTATCTATTACAACATGTACTAAGTAAAACATGAGCAAATGGACCCCTATCTTTTTCTTTTGCAATCCACTATGGACTGCGTCAGGAGTGTTATATCGAAATTGCAAGAAAAAAATCAATGGTAGAATTTTTTCTATATACATTTCTATTGGCAAGAAAATTTTGATAGCTTTTTATTCCCAATAATTGTATGATTTCACAAATTGTTTATCATGTTCAGTCTTTAATCTTTTGGACTTTATTCAAGGCCTATAAATCAAGGAAAACTTTGCGTAAATCAGGGTGCAAAATCTCTTTCCTTTTCAAGGTTGTGAAAGTTTTAACAGAATGTATTTGAAAATGAAATTTGTGTTTTTACATGAAACATGCAAATTTCAAACTGAAATATCTCAAACAGGGATGAGTCATGAGTGTTCTTGGTATATTTGAATAGTGCACATCAATATTTACTCTATGTCAAAATTTTAGGGAAAAAACAAGAGACTTTTTCTGTATCATATGCCTTTTAAAGTATCAAATGAATGGCACTCGTATAGCTAATCTTCATCTTGACCGTTGCTGGGTGATCTCTAATATGTAAATATAAGTGTTCAAACTAGGACTAATATATAATTGTATTAGTCCCAGGTTCAACTAGGCCTGCTCAAAATAAAAAAAAAGCAATTAAAATTAATGCATCAATAAAGCAAGACTTTGTATCAAACCAACCATTACTGTTGACAACAATGTTTCTTGACAAGCAGACGATGACATTTCTCCACTTTTGACATACTTTTAAATTGTCTTCAAAATTTTGAAAATCACATAATCCAAAGGAAAATTCATATTTAGATCGTTTTCGCTTTGATTTTCCTTTAAACTGATATGAAAAAATAGAAAAATATGCACTAGGGTCATTTTCAGATTTTCCCTTTTTACAACGACATCCCACCACGTCACCGAAATGGATGCTTTTTTCCGTTTTCAAAACATTTTTCTTTTGTTGCAATTCATAAAATGTAATGCCTTGTTTAGTAAGTTTCACATCATATTTTGTCAGTCTCAAGGGAAACAGAAAAAAATATCCTTCTAAAAGCACTTGTGTTTTATTCTCCATGTTTATCTGCTCTGTCATGTGACTCATCACATGGTACCCATAAATAGGCCAGAAATTATGATAGTTACGGTAAGCTGTGTTACCAACGGAAAATTCTCAATGGCAGCACTTGAGAGTTGTTATCGTGTCGGAACTTCTATTTTGCAAAAAAGAACATGCACATTTTGTATGTTAATGATTAAAGTATCAAAAGTATTTGTACTTGTATTTTACACTTAACTATAATCCTTTCATTTAAATTAATTATCAAAGATTTATATCCGTCTTTATGATAAAAGATTGTGTAACAAAGAATATAGATAAATTGACACTAAGTGATAACTGCCGAAAGCCATTCTTCACAAACTTATACGAAACATGTTTTTAATCCGTAATCCCCGCTTTCGGCAAAACGCGATTTATAATATTTGATAAAAAGATATTTGATTGGTTGATATTCCGCATGTCAATCGGTCTTTTGAATTTGTATTTTAGATTTGTTTTTATGTGGTTATTCAGTTATGTTTTGATGATTGAAATATATGGATGCGAAATAAATATGTAAACTTTCCAGCGACTTGGACTTTATCTAAACTACCGCAAGTTTCCCCCGAAACTAATTTATATGACAGAGGTGACCAACAACCTGGTCATACTGAATCCAATGAATTTCTGCTATTAGGAGCAACTCCTTATATTTGGAGTCACTGTTTAATAATATCCAAAGACCACGATAGTCTCAGAATTTCACCTCCAGTGTATTTACATATCAAATATGTACACAGTTCACGGTTTCGTTTAAAATATTGATGTTAAAGGCCAGACGAGTCTCTTAACTATATCTAAATATGTCGAGATCTAAATCTGTAAACATCAAATGCGACCTATATTGTAAACTTTCCATGATCTTCTATATATAGGTAACATTCCGGATTCGTTCACTGGCGATCTAAATCATTTAAAAGTTACATGTTTTTTACATTAATCTATAATCCTTTCATTTAAATCATTGTTCATTGAATTATTGTAACCATTGTATATAGAATATGAATTTTATGTAATCATTCAGCTCAGCTCTTGGTGCTGTAATTTGAAATAAGACACTAATTCTATTCTATTCATTATTTTCTTAGGGAGCTACCATTTGATTTTTATGGGGGGCTAGGATGAAATTTGAAAAAAATAGGCAGGACAGGAGTTTTGAGTAAAAAAAAAGGCTGGATGAGACACTCCTGAGCAGCCAAACAATGCTAAACGGTTGGACGTTTTCTTTTCATAGACCGTCAACATAAAAAATACATCCTGCTTCACTTTTTTGTTACTTTTCTAATGACTGTAACGTTGTCAATATGTACATGCAGTCATACTAATTTATTACTTACATTCTCAGATTTAAACTGGACAATAATGACAGAACATTCAATATAATAAATTAGATAAGACATAGCCAAGATGAGAAAACATTCCTATAGAGAGGCGGTGGCCTGCAGTAATCACCGTTTGTGTCTGTATTTGTGTGTCCGTCCGTCTGTTCGTTAGACGGGCCGTCCTGTAGCAATTATATTTTATACGATAAGTAAAGATTGCCCCGTGCAATATTTAATGTGTGTATCTCTATACCAATGTAATTCTGTTTTTTGAGAATCAAAGATATATAGTATTGATCAACTGTTTTTTTTTACTCTTATCTGGGACTAATATAGATAATGTATTAGTCCCAGATCTTATGAAGTATTAATTTCTATAAATAGAATGTATCGTTCGTTTTTTGCTTGTTTTTTTGTGAAATTTTGTGCCGGTAAAACACAAAGCACAAATTTTAAGAAACATCATCTTGTGCTAGTTATTCATGCAACAAATGACATGTTTAAAGTTATGATATGCCATTCAGTGATTCCCAATGACAAAAATTGGTTTTTGTTAAAATTTGAGGTTACATGTGCAATAAAAACCTTGTTGTTATTAAAAAATCACAAAGTTTGAGAAACAACATGTTATAAAATGATTTCTTTTTTGAGCTTTATTTATCGATATCTAATGCATTTCTTTTAATGCACATTGAGATGTGGCTATATCGTCTACCCATTTTATCAAACAGAATGTGATGACATACAGTACATATAATTACAGCCGATTTCATTGAGTGTGTAAGAAAAGTTAAAATCTTTGGTTAGCTTGCTTGCTAGCTGAACCGTGAAGTCATTATTAGGTTAGGTAAACTACCCTCCTTTATGAGTAGATTAGTCCGACAAACAGATAGAATTGGTTATCTGTGGGACTAGTCTACTCATAAAGGAGGGTAGTTTACCTAATCTAATAATGACTTCACGGTTCAGCTAGCAAGCAAGCTAACCAAAGATAATACCTATTTCTACACACTCAATGAAATCGGCTGTAAGCGTAAGAATCTGTAATCTATGTGACCGAGTCAAATGAAATTAGTAAACAAATTATTACCACGATTGTTAAATTTTCACTTATTTATTGGTGTTCTTTCTCGTATTCATACGATATAACATAACGGTAGTTTATGTGTGTTGTCCGAGTCTTTTCTAATGCGGGCAATAACAATTAATAGGGCAGCACATATTGTGATATCATATGGATATATAGTTCAAACCTGCAATTAACCAACGGATTTGCGAAAAAGATTGAACAGCTACTTACTACATTAAATTTTTCACATGTTTGGGAAAATCATGATACTATTTCAAAAAGGCGTTTATTATACAGTTTTACAACTAAGCCCAAGAATTTGCATCAAAATGATGTTGAATAAAAAGTGAACTTAACTCCTGCACCACTTAGAAAACACCATATTTTCAAATTAAACTGTCACATCAATTATATTATGTTAGTTCACAGATACCACATGGTTTCTTTCTCAATCTATAGGTGACAATTGTTGCAAGAAGGGATAAAATGAAATACAAAATACCAATCAAGAAATATATCTTTTTTTTAGTCCCCTACCGACGAAGTCGAAGGGGACTTTAGGTTTGTACTCCGTCCGTCTGTCCGTCTGTCCATCTGTCCGTCTGTCCATCCGTCAGTCCGGCAAATCAGCTTTCCACACCTTTTTTCTTCGTTCTTGAAGATATTGATTTGATATTTGGTTATGGACCATAACTCTGGACCATATCTAATGTTAGAGTACTATGTTAAACCATATTTCTGTACAAAGGGAGATAACTCATTTTTTTAAAAGACATTCTTTGTTAAATTATTTGAAGATTTTTTTGGCAGGTTTGTTTGTTATTTAGTATAAACTAATTTTCTGAATGCTATATATATATAAAAAAAAAAATTATGAAGAGAAATCCTTTAATTAGATAATAATCTATTTTCATTAATGTATATATTTCAATACATTACATTGTGTAGATAAAAGTTGTTGACATTTTATAGATAAGTTACAAATCTATATTAGTTTGTGACAAATGAAAGAAAAAATATTTGGAACTATTAATTATATTTGATTATAATTTGAAAATAGATATACACTGTATTACATCATATCTAATTTGAGAGAACTATTAATCATATCTAATGTTTTTTCACTCATATAATCAGTTTTCCACACATGTGACTGTGCATTTTCCTAAAACTTTTAAAGTTTATAACAATTTTGTGGTTTAAACATCTGTTTGTTAAGTAATATTACCAGTCGCCTTATCAGTATGAAATGACAGATTTATAGCTCTTCTTAACCATTTTATGATTGAGAGAAGATATGAAATTTTCACTTTCTTGTGCATGGATGTAGGACTGTATATGCACTTCATACCAAACTTAATG